TCCATTCTCTCTGAAAAGCAATGGAAAAAATATCCTCAGGTGAGACTTAAAAAAAAAAGAATGGCTTGGGAGGCTACAGGAGCAGGGTCACAGGGGCTGGGGGTACCAGCTGGGCCCCGATGGACCCTCACTGCAGTTCTGGTTTGGGACAAGGGTGGTCGAGCAGGCTAGGTGGGCTCCAATAACATCCCATGAGACTCAGCCACCAGCTGCCCCTTTTCCCCCAGAATCTGCCTCTGGATTTCCGGGGACACCTTCAAGTCTGCCCCTACTCCTGGCAGCTGGGAGCTGCCCCGCCTTGGGTCCCTCCACCTGGACAAAGTTTCCTTGGTCAGCAACCCCGACTCCCTAGTTCTGGGACACAGGGGAGTCCAGCCTCTGCTCCCAGGTTTCTAGACAGACATGGGCTGGTCAAGGCTCCCCTTCCCTGAGCTGTGTGGCCTAAGGCAAGACCCTGCCGCTCTCTGAGCCTGTTCATCTATGAAATGGGGTGAATGACATCCTGCGGCTTTGTTCTCACAGGGATGTGATGTGTGCCAGGCATTCGACATTAGGCACTTACTAAGTGTGAGCTCTTCCCAACCAAAACAGGGCCCAGCTTGTCCTTCCCCCACATTCCCCTGGTGACAGCTGGAGCACAGGTGGGCACAGCTGGAATGATTCTCTTCATCACCACTCCTGCCCCTGCTGGGTGCTGAGGGGCACCAGGGAGCCGGGAATGCAGGGGACACCGGCTCCTGTGACAATGATCCCATCCCCACCTTGTGTGAGTCGGTCAGAGTCAGGGCAGGGTCCCTGAGTCCTTGCACCTGGGGAGGACAATGACCTGTGGCCAGGGTGGAGCTGATAAGGCCCCATCAATCACCTGGGCCTGCCTCTGCCTCAGCCGGGCCTCCTCCCAGCTGTGCGGTCGCCTCTGGGAGAGGAAGGTAAGCCTCCGATGACCCCCTGCATGTCCAGCCCCTGGATAGACATTTCACTGGATGGAGGTGGGTGGGTGAGGGTCTGGGCCCTGCCCACCCAAGCAAACCAAGGCCTGGGGGGAGGCTGTCCCTGCCCAGTGTTGTGCAAGGATCAGGTGTTGGCTCCTGGCTGGTCTTTGTCCTGGGGACGGGAGCGCTGGGAATGAGCTGGGGTTCAGTCTCTTGGTCAATGACTTCAGCAGGTCCTGCCCTTCCTCTGGACCCAGTTTCTCCAAGGCCAAGGTGAAACCTTGTAGGCCTAAACCCCTACACCCACCCCTGCTGGGACCTCCTGCCCAGGAGGCAAAAAGGCCATCTCCTCCCTCCCACCTGTAGCTTAACCTAAAGCCAAAGAGTCAGGCTCAGCCATGCCGGGCTGAAAAGGAATGTGGGCAGAGCCTGGGGGGCTGCGTGGGGACAACTCAAGCTCTGGGTGGAGCAGGGCCAGCCTCTGATCTGTACCTCCATAACTGGGGGACCCCCTCCTCAGCCCAAATGGGATTGGGGCTAGAGCACAAGGTAGGGGGGTGGGGACAAGATGTCATGGGTGAGAACCTGCCTTGGGCACCCTCAGCCCCAGGTTAAATATAGACCAGTGGCTCCTCCCCCATCTCTCCCAAGCTGACTGCAAGTCGGAGATAAGCTAGCCTCCTCCAAGGCCCTCAAGCCTGACCCCTCCTCCCTCTAGTTCTGATATACCCTGGGGAGGGAGTGGCCCAGGAAGTCCTGGATGTGGTTGCTGGGTCCAGGGAACTGTGGGCTGTGGGGTGGGCTGGGCACCAGAAACTGCATGCCCAGCTCCCCTCTCCAATTCTGATGGAAGGTCTAGCCTGGCAGAGCCCGTGACGATGGACACCTAGGGGAGGCTCTTGGAAGGTGGTGTCAGGGAAGGCTTCCTGGAGGAAGTAGCTGTCTGCATCTCAGTGCTGGCTATAGCCTGGCTACATCACTGGCCGTGAGAGCTGCCTGGTGACACTCCATTTTCACAGCTCGGGGATCACCTCCTGGGGGAAGCTTCCCTGGCCAAGCCACTGGGCCCCCACCAGGCCCAGCAGGACTCTCATGGGTTTCTGTCCTGCCCCCCAGGGCTGGGCACCCTCCAGGCCTCCTGACCCTCCTTTTCGCCCCCAGCTTTCCTGTGGCTAAGATGCCGACACCTCGGACATTGACCTTTGGGCTGGAGCTGCACAGACCCAAGGAGCCCATGGAGCCACAAACCCCAGTGCAGAGCACTCAGCAGACAAGCAGTGGGGAAGCGCCCAGCGCCCACCATGAGGACTTGAGGCTGGGCCTGGGCACCTTCCGGCGAGCCTTCTCCCGAGTGAGCCAGCGGGCCTCGGGCCGGGCCGTGGAGGAGGACCCCGGCCTGCTCAGGCGCAGCTCCCGCTTCCTGTTCCGGTCCTTACGACGCTCCCTGGACGACAGGCCGGCTGCTGACCAGTGCCAGGCCACCGCTGTGCCAGGGGCAGGACATGGCCCGGAGGTGCCCTCCAGGGTCACTGATGGTGTCAGCCGGCAGTTGTCCACCAGGGTGGAATCTGAGGAACTGGAACCCGAGGCAGGTGAGGGCTTCACAAACAACACTAAGCATGGGAGTAAACTGAGGCCAGAGGGTGGGAGAGCAGAGCCCAGGCTTCCCGACAGGCTCTCCTCCCAGCTCCCCAAACCCCCGCCCCCTGCACAATTGCATTTTAAATTCTTCCATATCTCTGCAAAGGGAGTTCCCACTGGGGACATGAGAAAAGTGAGGGTCAGAGAGATTAAGCGACTTGCCTTATCTGACAGCTGGGAAGTGGAGAAATGGAATTTGAATCCAGATTTGCACAGCTCAAGAACCTGGCCTCTCCACAGCCTTCCTGGCTCCTGGCTGCACTAGGTGCACAAGGCATTGGCCCTCTTAGGTCACAGGCTCACGGAGCTTGCATAGGAGCCATGGCTGCCTGGAGGGGAGGTCGGGGGCTGCCCAGGAGAGGACACGCAGGAGCTGGGCCCTGAAGGGGGGGTGCAGGGGGAGGTAGAGGGCTCCCAGGGATGGGCTGGCTCAGAGCAGGGAGCAGGACAGAGTGCTGGGGCAGGAGCCTGGGCATTGTGTGACTCACTGGGCCTTCGCTCTGACCCCCTGAGCCTGCAGTAAGGACTGCACTTGAGGCCACCAGGTCGGGCGCACAGAGTTGGGGGCGATGGGGGAGCAGGGGCTGAGCCACACTGCTGTCTTCAGCCAGGCTTGGGGTCTGTCTGGGGTTCTGCCTCTTCAGACGTCATTCTGAGGACAGTTCCCAGCAGTTGAGGATGTTGCTCTAGAGCCAGGCTGGGTCAGACTGGTGGCCTCCAGGCCTCCTGGGGCGGTCCCCTCACTGCCCCTCCCCTTGCCTGTCCTCGCAAAAAGGCAAATCTGTGGCAGACCTCATCACCGAGCGGCAGCTGCTGGCCGCCTTTGAGCAGCTGCAGCGCCTGGAGACGGCGCTAGTGGCCGAGAAGGCCTCGCACACCTTCGAGGGGGACCCCACGGGCTTCGCGCGGCGCGCCATGGACGTGTGCCTGCACTACGACGGGCTGGCCGCGGAGATCCGCGCCATGGTGCGCGAGACGCTGGGCCCCGACGGCGTGGACGCGGACG